TTTGGAACCTTTGTATAGTCTTTTCATTTATTTTGATTGTTAGAGGATAATATGTTGCTCATTAGCCAAAAAAAAATATATATATCTAAAAAACTTATGAAAAACCTTCTATGTGACAAAATAATAGCCATTGATCTAAATTTTGGTTAGTTTTTTAGANATATATTTTTTTTGTTATTCAACAAAATAACCCTTTTGTACCCTTTTGTTATTTCCTTCTTTTCATAATACACTTTTATCTCTTTTNGATTTTTGNTATAATTTTCCAAANCTACNTTTCTACTATACTTCTCGAAAATAAATTGACCTTTTTGACATCAATTCAGTAAAATTGATTTTTTTAAAAAAATTCTATATTAATTTACATCATTTTCAAAAAAATTGATACCAAAAACATAAAATAAAATCAATTAAATAATCGATGTATCTACTAACTTTTATTAAAATAACATAGAACTATAGAAAATTTACATAAGTAGAAAATATATGTTAATTATGTGACTTAGCTTCAGTTGTGACAATGATGTAATTACTTACTCATTTTAAATGAGTTGGATAAAATTAACGCTAATTTGTATCGGTTAAAACATTCTATACTAATAATTTAATAAAGTTGATTAACATTAATTGAAAAGTTGACATATTAATTATTGATATAATATATAAATTATTTGTCAAAAAAAAATTTTAATAAATATTTTATACATGTAAAAAGAGTTGGTAAGATATAAAAATCGATGGATTATCTAATTTTGGAATCGATTGACTAGAAGTGATGCTAATAGATATTAGTTTGCATCAGACATCAGTTAATAAATTTTATATTGATAATTAGAAATCGCATCTATATAATATTTAATATATTTAATTAACNTTTTAAATGTCAATATAATTATAGTTAATTATTGGACAAATAGTTAAAAAAATTGATGTAAAAATATGAAAAGGCCTATTAATTCGTATAAATATTGATGTAAAAATGGATGTACAAATCGATGGAATATTCGTTGTAATTGATTATTGATATAACTGAAAATCCCTAAAATCTCTCCCTCTTCTCACGTTCTCTAATCTCTATCACGTACAACCGCTTACTCTAAATATAAAACAAATCAAAATGATCTCTTTT